AAACTGGGGCCGGACCAGAACGGGCCCAGCTGTGTTCCCCTGTACTGGACGAGGGTGGCCAAACGTCCTCTTTTGCCTGGACATGTCCACTTTTACATCCTACATTAGAATACATTAGTATTTATCCTTTTGTTGGTTGAGTTTGTGTCATTGTGAGACTGTTTTCTTTATTCCATTCAGAGGGTATTCAGAGTAAGCTGTATTTTCTAATCCAGAAGAAGTCATATTTAGAACATTATTTGATTTTATGTATTTAAAAGGGGGGCTAACATTTAGTTCCTGGTTGTTACAAATGGTTTTTTACTGCCCAAGTTCTTTTTGTACCACTGAGGTCTAATAAAGCCTGTTCAGGAACATCTGAGAAGCTGGTCTGGAGGCAGAGTGTCCTCCTTTTTGGAAATCATGGTCACCCTGGACTGGACGGACTGTGTGGAGCCAAGCAAAAAGGTAAATAAACACACAGACCTGCATGTTCCAGCGAGGTTCTTAACCTCAGAGTCACTCTGAGCTGCTGTCAACAGACAGACGGGCCTCAGTAGCATGAGTAGGTCAGCTGATCTGTACGGGTCAGGGGTCAAAGGTCATGGTGGCGATGGGATCTGGATAACATGACCTAACCACCCGGCCGCCGCCATCTGGTTAGTGTACATAACAGCTCAGACTGGGAAATGTCAGACCAGCTAGACGGACAACTGTTGTCATCATCATCATCATCATCATCATCATCATCAGCTGGGTGGGCATGAGCAGTTTTGTGGCCTTCATTTGACATTATGCAAAATCTAAAAAATGATATACATACGATATACAGGATTTTGACAATTAAAACCCATAAATGTTAATATGTCAACACCCCTATGACGGTTTCTATAAAGGAGAATTGAATACAACCTTTTTAAAATTTCTAAACAGAAAAATCAAAGCCCTGAAAATCGAGAAGGAATTATATTTATGTTACAGCACCGGTTAAAAATAAAGCTTCTGTCTATGCTTTAATATAGATAATTGCTTAAAATGGAAAGACTTTATGATAACAATAAAACCTGCAGCCAAACTTCCTTTTCGATAATTTAGGTCACATTTAGCATCAAATAGCATCAAGTCGGCCAATGACTAACTTAACCAATTAGGTTATTAAGTTTATATTTATTCTATGTGGCTTTGCAAATACAAATACAAGACAAATCCATGAGGAAAGCTAGGGGAATATATTCTCCCTCTACAGATTATATATAATATCATGAGAAAGGCAGACATGACGGAGCAGTTGCCCCATTATCTCCATAAGAAACAGAATTACAGTTTAGCCAACCGGAAAAAAAGAAACTGTAGAACTATATTGTTCAAAGCTCAAGCATCAAAATTATTTCTGTATCCTCAACTACACAGACCCAACTTCAAAACTGCTCATTTTAGCACCAAAAAAACAAAAACAGAATTAGGCTGCACTATTTCCTGTTGAAGACTGGGACGATGGGGTTAAAAAAAAAAAAGATTTAAAAACGGCATAAAGGCAACGCAACATTGCTGTAGTGAAGAGAAAATAGCAGCAGTCATCCTCACCTTGCTATAGAGAAAAAGGAAATAGTAGAAATAGGAGCCTAACTCTGCGACTTTTGGTTCCTACACATACAGAAATACATGCACATAGTTCTCTGGTTTTAGAGGAGGGACGGAAATGGAAGCATGAGAAGCATTATTCATGAGGGGAGAGGTGGCACGGTGGTGTGGTGGTTATTACCAACCCCTCAGAGCTCCAGGGTCCCTGGGTGGAGTCCTCTGGGGAGCGGGGCCTTTCTGTGGGGTCTCTGGTTCCCTCCCACTGTCCGAAAACAGGATGTTGGGTTAACTGAACTCTCCAAATTGACCCTAGAAGAGAACGGGAGTGTGTGAGGATGTTTGGGTGTGTGTGGCCCTGCGATGGACTGGAGACCTGTCAGGTGGACCCCCCTCTCACCTGCAGTCCGGTCTGGATGGGCTCCAGCAGCCCCAGTAGGAACACGAGGGATGGATAATGGACGGATGGATTAAAAACAGCGACTTCCAAACAAGAAAATATGAGAATCTCTGTGATATTCAGATTTCTGGATAATACCTTATGGCCAGAACTCAGTCTTAATAAATCACATTTTATAGCATAGAACCTGAACTCTGGTCATCCAACTTTGGTTTCCATTAATTAAGACAATAGTTTAACCAAAATCAAGGGTCTTGTTGTCACTGTAATACCACAGTAGATGAAATATCAGCTCTTCTTGGATTTTTGGGAGCTGCAATTCAGTGGCTGTGCTTTTACTTTTTACCAGCTGATTAATAGAACATTTAATCTTTCACGCAAAAGTTGTTGTGAAACTGAGAGCTTGGAAAACGACAACCGAACCCCCCTGTCCATGTGTTCCTGAACGTCTCCCTCCTCTGACTGTGACCCAGAGATTAAGAGATTTGAGCCTGGCCGTCCTTCAGCTTGCTAAAACGCCACCTAGCTCCATTCACAGGCTGAAACCAAAGCCCTGAATAGAACCGGGGGGGGGCAATCCCAGCCAGGAAACCTTAGGATGCAGGCAAAGACCGCCACCTGGTGGCAGGAGAGAGTAGTGGAGGGCCAGTGATCCCAGTTCCAGTCCAGGACTCTGCCCACTGACGCACATGCAAATAAAGGCTTTTAAGTTTTCAGTTCAGTGCTTCTCACATGCTTCTGAGCATCCCTGTCTGGCTGACCAACAACAGACCAAACCACAGAGCTCTCCAGAGAACTGGCCGGCTGACATTCTGCCTGGACTCAACCAAAGCTAAACCCTGACACGAGGAAAAACTGCATTGAAGGAATAGAACGAGGAGCCCAAAGATTTGCCCACAAAAGTAGCTTTAATTGATTGTTATAAATGAGTAAGGCTAGAGATGTGTGGACGTACAGGGTGCTGTGTTCAGTACTGCGGGTTCTTGGCAAGTTAGCAAGAAGTGGCTTTCAGAGTGCTGCGGTAGGAAGAAGCTGCCCAGTGGCCGCCTGGAGTCCAGCCGGACCCGTTTCCTCGCACTGGAAACCTTTACATTTATGAGGCCCTCCACAGACGAGCGGTGCATAGCTGAGTGTTGCTACCCTCTGCAGATCGTCCCAAAGGGGACAACCGTTATAAAAACAAACCCACACCACTTCAGGTTTCATACATATATAATCAGATAGATTCTTATTCAATATACAAAGATACATTCTCAATTGCAAAGGCTCCACCATTGTAAATAAATACTGAAATGGCTAAACTGTAATAATATTTCTCTTCTCTCCTGGAGAGAAGGCGCACACACACTTGAACACACAGTCTTGCATGATGAGGATAGGCCTTCTGATGCTGTTCACCATGACAAGAGACAAGGCAAAGACAAAATAACATGAGTACAGAGTACTAGAGGCCGGAAAAGAAATCTCAGTCACACCCAGAACCCCCCTTTGTTTTCACACCGTATTCTGAGGACAGCCTGAGAAAAAAAGGTATCACGAATAAAAGCTCATAAAAATGGCAGAACTTTCTTTAAGTCTGCCTCCAGGAGGGTTTGTTTCACAATCCCACAGAGGTTTGAGCATCTCACCTAAAAGCTCCTGGTTATGGGAACGCGCTACGTAAGGCTGCCCGCTGCATCCTCCCCCCACAGCAGCCTCTCTCACATCCTCAAAATATTCTCATTTCCCAAATATGAAAATTTAAAAATATATCTTATCAATAAACTTGGATTTGTATTACAAAAACCTGCATGTTACGCACATGGAGGCAAAGAAAAGGATCATTCCTAGCCATGTGGACTCTTTTTCACCTTTGGTAGCAAACGGAACATTCGTTAGAGGAAAAAATAAATACTCTGTCATGCTTGAGAGGCCTTTGACTCCTTTTGAACCTTTGACCTCAGTCCTTTTGATGTCTAAGGCGTTTCTTAAAGTGTCTGCTGGGTGGGGGGTGTGTAACATTACATCAGACATCACGGTCTATAAATGTAAATAAGAAAAGACTTTAGGGAATCCATGATTTCCATCTCATTGTTGGAAGTATTCCCCTCGTGATGCAAGAGCTGGGGTGGCAGACAGTGAACTTATCGCGGGTCCAGGTGGGGGGGGCTAGCTAGGTTGGACTGTGTTTCCCATCAGTTTACCTGCTCACTCATTTACACACAGCAGCACCCCCCCCAGCACAGCTCCAGTTTGTGCCCCACACGTTGTGCTGTAGTCCCAGAAACTGAATGTTAATCTGCTGATCTGATTAACACTCTTATTAATTATCTTCAACCAGCCTCACGTGTTGATGATGTTTTTGTCAGATCTCAATTAAAAAGTCTTAAAATGGAACCTCACAGGGGTCTTAGATGAGGGAAGTCTTTAAGCCAATTAAACAGAAGATGAGAAACTGAAACCCTCTTTCTGTTGTTTGATGAAAGTTCCTTTTCCTTTTCCAGAGTACTATGAACGCATGGGTTGTGATGGAGTCTGGGACTGAGGAGAAGCAGAGTAGTGAGGCACCAACTGGGACCGTGACAGACGCTAACTGGACTGATATGAGGCCCACACAGCCAACTGGACACTGATTCAGCCCTTTGACCTTCACATACAAAGTCCTCGGCCGAGAAAAATAAAATAACAGGGAACAGGTTCTGATGCTGATATGATGATTGACTTCCTGTCTTACATTCTTTAAGGGCAACACAAAAACTGCTTCGAGTTCAGGGGGGGGGAAACGAAGCTCCTGTCCCCGAAGACAGCCTCACCTCAACTCAGGTTAAAACGTAATGAGGCATGAGAACCGATTGTTCTCATCTGTAGAAAAAAAAGAAAAAGAAGGAAAAAACAAAAGCATGCATCCAGGGATATCACTGAGGCAGTTCTCAGAGCAGTTTCTGCTTGATTTGCTCTTATAGTTCTGGACTTAGGAAGCAAAAATAAGTGCTGATTAATGGTGTGCCTGAGGACGGGGGGGCCCTCGACTCCAGAAAAGGCAGATCAGACCTCGGGGGGGTGCTCAGTCCTCGCTCAGGACCTGCCACACGATGAGGTGGCTGCGCTCGGCTTTGGCCAGGAAGGGCTGCAGCTTCGGGGGGGCGTCGTCCGCCTCCTCCGCCTCGCCGTCCTCGTCGCCTGCCGACACACACACACACACACACACACACACCGTTACCCCGCCGCCCGCCGACCCACACACACACACACGCCGTTACCCCGCCGCCCGCCGACACACACACACACACCGTTACCCCGCCGACACACACACACCGTTACCCGCCGACACACACACACACACACCGTTACCCTGCCGCCCGCCGACACACACACACACACACCGTTACCCTGCCGCCCCATCCTCCGCTCGCCATTATCTTTATGTTTATGCATTTACCAAGACGCTTTTATCCAAATCGACTTACAAACTTACAAAGTAGACACAATTGTAAAGTTGTGACTTATTGTCATCAACATGACAATAAGTTTTCTAAAGGAAAATCCCCAGTCAGAATCAGTGGTGACATCAAGCGAGAGAGAAAGAAGTGCAGAAAGAGGAGTAGAGGGTCTGGGTAAGAGTCAGGATAGGAGATGCTCTTTGAAGAGGGGGTTTTTTAAGCGTTTCCTAAAGATAGAAAGGGACGCTGCTGTTCTTGTAGCGCCTGGTAACTCGTTACACCATCTTGGAACAACACACCAACCGGCTAACTCACCCATCCTGAAGTCGATGTAGCCCTCCCCGCCGCTCATCACCAGCACGGGGCGGCTGCCCTCCGGGGCCGTGGCGTCCGCGCTCCGGTCCCCCGCCGCCTCCCCCCCGCTGGACGCCGACAGGACGGCCTGACCTGAGGGCACAGACACCGGCTGGGAACTAAAGCCTGACCCCCAGGCGGGCGGCGGGGGGGCTGGAGCAGCGCTCTGGGGCTCAGACGCACAGACAGAAGCCCCCCCTCTGCCTCCAGGGCAGGCCTACCTGGCACGGCGGTGAAGAACTTGACGGCGTCGCGGTGGCCGTGGAAGCAGAGCTGGGCGTGGGCCATGGAGCAGAAGGGGACGAAGGTCCCGGCGGTCACTCTGTCGCCGCTGTCGTCGCCGTACACCTGGACCACGCCGCCCGCTGCCTTAGTTACCTTGTTGGCTGCTAACAGAACAAGAAGAGTTTAGGGGGGGGCTTCACAGTGACAGAATACTTTATCTTAAACTCAATCTCCTGAAATACATTTCTAACACAGCTCACTTCATTAGGAAATTAATCAGGCAGCAGAATACTGTAACCGTTAGCTCACCCTCCGTCAGAGGGATGGAGATGATGACCCCGTTACCGGTCCCAATCCACAGGCGGCTACAGGACACCATGAGAGCCGTGATCCTCACAAAGGAAAAGCCAAGCTTGCCCGTACCTGTGGGGACATAAACCGCCAAACCCCGTTAAAGCTGAGCTTTATCAGGCAACAGGGCGGAGGGCTGACTGCTGGTGGGAGGGGCTCACCCAGCATCTTGCTGACGTATGGCTCAATGTCCACGTCCTGGAGGTGCTGGTAGGTGTGGGCGTGGAAGAGCCGGAGGGTGGAGTCCAGCCGGATGGACACCCAGATGCCGTCCCCGTGCCAGGCCAGCTGACGCACCTGGCTGTCCTTCCGAGGGTGGGCGTCGAAGGACTTCTGTGGAGGAGAGAAAGGGGAGCAGCGTGAGGAAAACAGCAGGTGTCTGGATGCCAGCAGGAGGAGCCAGAGCTCTGGTTACCTCTATCTTCATGGCTTTGGGCTGCACCACGTAGATCTTGTTCCGGTAGCCACACCACACCTTGTCGTGGACCACCGTCATGCAGCGAATGGAGTGGTGCGGCCTCCCCAGGTCCAACAGGTGGTAGTTGGTAAGGTCCCACTGTCCATCTGAGGAGGAGAAGAGAGGAAAAGGCTGGCAGACAGTGGCCATCGGCTGTAAACGGGGCTTTACCAGAGGGAGGGGGCTCACCTGCTCCTCTGTGGAAAATGGCCAAGGTGCCATCGGACAGACTGACCAGCACTCGTCCTTTCACGTGTCTGTGGGAGAAAGGCGTTTAGGGTTGGGGCGTGCGACAGCAGGCTGGTGCAGACCGGCGAAGTGTGTGTGTGTGAACCTACACGATGCCCAGCACAGACTCCTTCAGCTTGATGGAGTGCAGGCACTTCTTCCAGTGAGCCACCGAGGAGTGGACGTACACGCTAGGGCCAGACGTGGAACCGGTTAGCAAACAGAGACGTGCGGTGGGGGGGGCGTGAGGAGGTGGGGTTAATCAGAAGAAAAAAACAACAAAGCACTCACTGTCCGTTCTGCGCCCCCAGCCACATGGTGGGCAGGACGCTGCTCATTTTCTGGGCCTCTTGGATCATCAGGTCCTGCTCCTCTGCTGTGGGCTTTGAACTCACTCCATCTCTCAGCTGATCACTCTCCCTGCTCAAAAAAAAAGTTCATTCAGAGAGTATTAGGTTAATATTAGTATCTCCCTTATCTCCTGTTGTCATAGTCATGGGGGAAATAAGTCCAAACAAAATGTATAAACATATGAAATAAAGTCAGAATGCCTTAGTTCTTAGAACATACTGTGATACTGTTTATATAAATGGTGCAGCTCTAAAACAGAAACGTGGAAGGCTGCAGTTCCACATTTACAGTCAAATCCATCCCCACACGGGGCTCAGAGTCTGGGATTTACTCAGTGAGGGAGATGGGAGAGACCACATTTGTCATACATGAAATGTAGTTTGTTAATGAACACTACATGGGACTGGATTAACTAATTTAGCCGCGTTACCTCTGACTGGGACTGGCCGGCCTCTCCTCGGTCTGCTGGGCTCCGAGTGGATCTGTGAAGACGTGTTCTGTGTAGATCCCTCTCAGGGTTTGTCGGGGCTCTGCAGGTCCTGCGCTGCTCTCCGTTGCCTCCGTGGCTTCTTCTGCTGCTCTGGGTTCTGCAGACAGGAACGTCTGACGTGGAGCAGACGGCGAACCTGGGAGCTCTGCCGTTTGGCTTTTTTCGGTTTTACCTGGACGTTCTGCTGTCTGAGGAATGGCCGTCGCCCCCTCAGCCTCGCAGCCCACCACTGTGATGCCCTCCAGAACGCTGTCGCCTTCTGTTGAGCTGCTCCCCTCAGCGGGCGGGCGGGCGTCCCCCACCGTTCCTGCCTCAGAGTTTGGATTTACTTCCTCTCCAGCTGGGTAGTCTGTCTCTCTGGCCCCTGAACATCAACATCACACACACATACACAAGGAAGTGAACACAGAAACCCCCCAGTGCTCCAGCGGGACACTTGCTGGCCTCCTCCCACAGACCTGGAACGCTGGTGATGCAGAGAACATGGGAGTTGCAAACGAAGAAGCTCTCCAGGATGTTTCCGGGCTGATTGGCGTCAATGACGACCACTTTGGAGGTGGACTGCGTGCTGGTGCTGATCCACACCAGGGAGGACAGCTCCTCCTGGAGCTGCTGCTCCCTCTGCTGGTCCTGCTCACACAGCAGCCGGGGCTGAGCCTCTGTTCCAAAGCGCCCATTCACACGTTCACCAGGTCACCTCATGCAAAGGCTGTGTGTGTGTGTACCATGAGCTCTTGATCCAGTTTATCCAGGCTGCTCTGAGATCCCGTCTTCTTTGGGAGGCTCTCTGGGCCGGACACGTCGCTGTAGAACACGCTGGCTCCCACCATTGAGCCTCCATCTCTGGTTTTCCCTCCAGAGAGGTTGACACCGGCGGCACACCACAGCTGAGGCACACACAAACAGAGGCGTATGGAGGCAGCCAACAAAGAGCAGTTTCAGGCTGCGCCACCTGCTGGCTCCTGAAACAAAGGCAAAAAAACCTTCATAGAAGCATCCTTCTCATCCAGCGGTCTGAGGAAGACAGGAACAGGGAGATTCTTCATTTTGCTCTCCGTCTGACCACCGTTAGCCTGAAAAAGTCCAAGAAGAAGCGGTCACTGTGTTGTCTGATCACACGCACTAAAAACAGGCAGCCAGCCCGCAGGCCTTCCTACTTTGTGCTTCTTAGGCAGACTCCAGCCGTAGGCCTGCACTCTGCCATCCTCCTTCTGGACGTGGGCCTTGACCTGCTGGTACTGAGCCCGCTTTTGTTTTCTCCTGGACACGTGTTCCGCTGGCTGTCTGTGGGAAACAAGAGCAGCTCACTCACAATAGCTCCAAATGAATAAAAAATAGCTTTTACTAATGCTGCATGCATAATATGTATTACTACCACTCATATGGGTTCAACATAAGCTGTAAAAATATCAGATTTATTCAAATGAACAACTTTCAGTTACTTTGACTTTTATTCATATCATATTTGGCTTATATCTTGGAATTGTATTCTGTTGAGTGGACAAAAGCCATTGTAATTCCTCCCTTTGGGCATTTTTTTTGTTGATCAGTCTTTGAGACATGAACATAAAATCAAATCAATCCATTGACTAATGTGAGCCAAATTTATACCGACCATTTAATTATCAGATGGGGGTGCTTTATGATGTCTTAAAAAAAAATGTAATGATGCTTTCCATTTCAAATGTATTGAAATTAGCTCTTTTTGCAGCTCAGCTTGACTTAAACAGGAGTCGTGAAGATTTAACGAAAACTCTTAAAATCACCGTTGTGCATGTGTTCAGACTTACTCCTCATTGAGGAAATCAAAGGCTTTGCTCTTGTCACTGGGCAGCTGCTGCAGGGTGCTGCTCTTCTTCTTGACGGATGGTTGAATCTGAGAGGTGGGCGCGTTGTATTTGACGTTCACCGGGGCCTCCACCGCCGGCTTCTTGCCCGCTCCGCCCGACGAGCTAAACAAACGGCTGAAACTGGAGGTGTAAGGGCGGGGAAGTCCGGGAGAGAGAGGGGGGGGAAGCACACAGACAAACGTATAGAGGAGTGGACACAAGCAGTAGCTCCAGGAGCAAAGAGGGTTCCTCTCCCATCCCAACACACCATGCTAGCTGATTATTCTGACACACATACTCCCATAAAGCTGTCCTGACCTCATTAAAACTGCATCCGCTGTTCAATCAGGGAGCGGGGGGGGGGGGGGGGGGGCACAGGTTAATAACATGCACTGACTGGTAGGTTAATAAGCAACACAGAGCAGACCCGGCCTGACCAGAAGAACCTTCCATTCCCCATTAGTCCTCTTTAAGTGAAGCTATTTAACAGATACTGCTGGTCAGATATCTTAGTTATGTAATTATGTTACTGCTTTTTCCAAATGTGTTAAAATTAATCTAATAAAAACTTCCCACCCATCTCCCCAAAATATTATCCCAACACACCTCCTGCAGACACCAAAGCATCAGACAGAATATTGAGGGAAAACACACAAACAGGGCAGAGAGGATGGATACTTAATCAGATGTTCTGCCTCGGGAAGCATCCCTCCTCAAACCAAACCAAAGTCATGACTTGTAAAACTCAACAAAGGAGAGCATAGAGACAAAGATTAAGGTACTTCGTTTTGCAGAGTTTGCGGTTTACAGCTTTCAGACTTTAAAGGCGTTTTGGCCGCTGAGGCTCTCCTTGGTTAGGAGTTTGTTACTGTTATGAAAAACTTGCATTGTGGTAGGAGATTTACCTACATCCTGGAGACCATAAAACAACCATAAAACAAAAGAAAACCAATACAAAAACAGTAAAATAAACGGCCAGCAGGTCGATATTTACTACCTCAAAAGAGAAGAAAAGAGTAACTTACAATTGCCAGAGGCTAGACTTCTTCTTCTCTGGAAGAGTTGGATTCTCCTTTGAAGCCCTAAGTCAAAGAAAAGGGAAAACACACTAACTGCCTGAGTTCTGTGTGTGTTTGCGTCGCCCACCGTTTCTGCTGACTCACCGGATCATCTCTGTCCATCTGACAGCTTCCTGCAGCTCCATCAGCCTCTCCTTATACTGGTTCCTCTCCATCAGGACCCTGGCCATCTCCACCCGGGTGAAGCGCTTCCTCTGGGCCGTGGGCACGTCGCTCTGCAGGAGCAGTACAAACCAACAACAACTCAAAAACTCAGCTCTTCTTTATTCATGATGAGCTGTTAACGCTCGTGTTTAAACAGGGTGACCATGTTCTGATTTTAAAAAAGGAGGAACTTTGCCTCCAGACGGATCCAGACAGGCTTCTCAGATGTTCATGAGTAGGCTTTATTAAACCTCAATGGTACAAAAAGAACTTGGGTAGTAAAACACAATCTGTAACAATCACTAACAAAATGTTAGCTCCCCCTTTAAAATACAGAAATTAAATAAAATCATGTTCTACATATGACCTCTTCTGGATTAGAAAATACAGCTTCAACAAAATAACTCTGAATATCCTCTGAATGGAATAAAGAAAACAGTCTCACAATGACACAAACTCAACCAACAAAAAGGATTAATACTAATTATCTACAAAAAGTTCAGATCCTTTTTGTCCCACTTTTTGCGACCAGGACGGTACGTGGGAAAAGATTTTTAGCTGCACTTTGGTTTGAGTATTCTGTCTCCAATGCTGGTTGCTCTGCTCCCTGTGTGTGTGTGTGTGTGTGTGTGTGTGTGTGTGACTCACTAGACCCCCCCCACAAGGCAGCCCCTCGAGAATTAAGTCGGGTAACGAAGTATTCTGTGCCAGTTGATTTAAGCAGACGATTCTGGTCCCATGAAAAACAGTGAAAGCCTTACAAAAACTTATGTGTTCATGAATTTATAATCCCCCCCGGACATGATGTAAAAAGCGGACATTTGGGCGCCCTAGCTTAAAGTTTGTAGACCTGCGGCATGCGCACACACATGTACTCACATCATCCTCGTTTTCATTCTTGACCTTCTGTTTAGCTTCTTCCATCTCTGCTCTGATTCTGCAACAGGATATCAAACATGTTCACAGGTTCTGTAAAAATGAGCTGTGACATTTGCAGGCCGGCTCACTTCTTCAACTCGTCCTCCAATTCTTTGTTCCTGTCCTCCAGTTTGGTTTTGGCCTGAGCGACGGCCTCCAGCTCTCCTCGCAGAGCCTCCTTCTCGCAAGCCAGCTCGTCCACTTTAGCAATCAGGTCGTTCTTCACCACATTCAGAGCGTTTCTGCAAGCAGATCAAACCTTTTCACGTAGAGCTCTCGAGCACAAGATGGCAGCAGTGGCCTGTTCTCTAGTAAAAGAAAGGGATTTTCCCCTCCACCTCCAGATTGGTCAGGTTTAAACATTTTAGTTTGATATGAACGAGGCCCTTTCACTGCATCTTTTCAGTTTTCTTTTAACACAAAATGTTCTGGTGCCCTTATCATTTGGTAAACTTCAAGTAATTGAACAAAAGGTATTCAAGGTGAAATGAGACAATGTTGAAACTAATAACATAAGCAAAATAGCATGTGCAACGTCACAAATTAAAGGGATCAAATGCAGATGGTCAAAAAGTAGTTTTTTTCTTTTTCTTCTGTTATAAGTTGGCTAAAAAGTAAAAGACTACTCTTAAGAAGTCATGAAAGCACTGACTTGGTCTCCAGCAGCTGGGTGTTTTCTTGGATGAGGTGTTCAACTTCCCGACCCATACCTAAAAATTATGACAGACAAACAAAAGTTAGAAAAACATTGTGATCCCATCCTCTGCTCTGTTAGAAAATGGGGAAAATACATCATTTCCTAAAGGCCTGCTCTAAAAACAAAACTTTAAAACACTTCGTCTTACCTAAAAAGTTGAAGTCTGTGTGACAGGAATCATCAGAGAGCTTTATGAAACTGTTAGTTAAGTATTCTTACTCAAACAAAACATTTCTAAACTACCTTTTTACCACAACGTGGTGTCAGGATGGATTCTAAACACCTGGCACAAGAGCTACAAACTGAAGGGACCCACGTGAAGACAACAAGGAGCTGGTCAATAGAGCCAAGAGAAATTGGCGATACACACCAGAAAACTCATCTGTGAGGAGCATTGGGCCCGACAGCCAAAGACCAATCAGAGAATCCAAGAGGAGTCAAACGGTTTGGAATATCAAACAGAAAAAAATGCAAAAGCCATATAGTAAGTTGTGATGGAGCGGGATTTCTCACCCAGGAGGTCGGCTCCATCGTCCACGTCTCCAATCAGGTCGTTCCCTGCAGACGACAGCTCCTCAAACAGAGAGTCGGTGTTGCGGTCGAAGGCTAGATTCTCAATGCCGCCTTTGGTGGGTGTGCTGCAGGGAGCGGGGGGGCAGGTGGAAACAGACAGCCATGCTCAGACATTTAGAATGAGCAGGGGAAAAAGCCACACAAATACAACTTGTCCTCTTTTGGTCTTTTCGCCTCAGAAATGACTTCAATCAGTGCATGTAAACAGAATAGTCAGTTGAATTCAAGGAATTCCTAAAGTTGCACCTTGTTCCTCTGCAGCCATCGAGGTCCATGTCCAGTTCAGGAGTAGAGTCTATGATCGCCTGCACCTCCGTCTTCTCTGGGTCTTCCGTTTCGTCTGAAAACAGCCAGCAGAGACGGGTCAGCTCAGTGCTGCTGACCGCGCTGGGGCAGGAGAGCGGGTGGTCACAGCTGGACTGACCTTCGCTTTTTACAGGCGAGGCGGCAGACTCCTGCTGGCCGTCCTGTACCGCTGATATGTTCTTATTACCCTCCGGTTTGCCGCTCCTCCGGTCCAAATTCTTGCTGAGCCCATCTGAACCCCCCTGTTCCTGTGGACTCGTCCCCACGGCAACGGGGGAGGCAGCGTCCGACGGCGACGTGGAGGAGGCGGGGGCCCCGCCCACAGCGGGCGCATCCAGAGGTGATGGCGGCGTGGCGGGCAGAGAACCACTGCTGGCTGTCCGGGGCGTGTTTGATTTAGAGGGTCCACCCTGAGAGGATACGGGAGTGCTGGATTTGGACCTCCCATCACTTCCGCTTCTGGAAACACTTCCCTGAGTGCTTGGCGTGTTGGACTTTGAGCTGCCACGGTTGGCGTGGCCCAACTCATCCTGATGGTGGAGAAGGGAGAGGTGAGGTGTGGGACTCAAGAATGAGGCTTTATTCATTTTTTAGCTGTAAAAGTCAGTCAAACTTAGACAAACAGATGAGTAGCAATGATCAGGCAAAGTTTAATCCAACTATCTTCACGAAACTTGGAAGTTTCCTGTTGTAGGATTCAACAGGGACAAAACTGCAAAGGTCTGTGTTTCTCTCAGAGAGGAACTTAGATGATTTGCACAGAATTAAAATACTTCTTGTTCCATTTCTTCCTTTCTTAAGATTTACATTTCTTTACAATATGCTTCCTTCTCCGTTTGTTCCCTGGATATTATATCAAGTTCACACCTATTTTATCTTCATGTGTAAACCCCAGAAAATCATCTTCTCCTACAAAAAACTGTCACCAAAAACAAAGAACATCATTCTGCGTTTCTCTCATTTTGCCACAGGGTCCCAGTTAAAAAATGTAAACTGCTCAACCATCCTGACGTGCGTTTTTTGGTTATTTTCAAGGGCAAATCTCGAGCTGCTGAGCCTTTCCATGCAGCAACGTGACAAAAAACATCAACACAGCATGTGAGCGTCGTGCATGTAAATCCGTCTGACAGACACTACACACACAGGCTCCTCAGCACAGCTGCTGGGAGCCGAGCACACACCGACGTCACGGCCTCCCTCTGAGAGACCAGGCTACCTGCTGACGGGGGAAATCGTCCCGGGAGTTTCCACAACCCACTCTGAGCGGGGAGAACAGTTCTTCAAACTGAGGAATTCAATTATCAGCAAAGAAAAAACACAAAATCAGTTCACTTCCTTGGCCTAAGTACTTCTTTTTTTCTTAATTTCGGCACCATATCAGGTCTCATAGGATGCAGATTTGAATTTTTTCAAAGAGTTGATGTAAAAAAAAAACAGAAGTCTCAAGCTCTATTTGCGGCCACCTGAAGCACAGCACCTAGCCGGCTTGGCTAGGGCTCTGCGAGTAAACATAAAAAAGCTGAACTAATCTAAAAGCAGGGCTTTTTCAGCTGCCCCTGTGGAATCCAGATATCCCAACCCTGCATTGTTCTGTTCCTGTTAATCCCCAAAACTTCTGTCCTATAAATAGCAACACTCTGGTGTCGTCCTGATTGATTCTCTTCCATCAAAGCATCTGTTTGGATCCCTCAAACACCTTAAAAACACAAACAGGATATTGCTTCAGAGGGGACTTCTAACAATAGTTTCACTCCTTGCTTCTCTTAACCTGGTCCACTTTACGTCCACACATGCTGCCGTCACACTCTGCTGTTGCCATAGTAGCGCAGGGAGGCAGAGTGGAGTGGGGTGTTGTTACTTTGCAGACGGTAGCTCTTCCCAAACCCTCCGCCATAAAGCACTGAGCACTCACCCTCAGCCCCGTGACAGGGAGGGGCTGGTAAATCTGTACAAAATGTCACTGACCAGATCAATCATGAGTGTGTTGGAAAACTTCATCACACAGTCTCAACTTCCAAAACTCATTTTTCACAAACCTCACAACGGTCACCTGACCCTGTCTGAGGGTAAAAACTACAAGTGGACACTGATCAGAGGGCCATTAATAATCATGAAGCAGCCTTGCTGGATGAATGGTCTCCAACGGCAACAATGTGGAGACACTGTGCCCGTTGCTCCCTCCCCTGAGGTTAAAGGCAGTACCCAGAATGGTACCACTTCCCCTGCTTCCTGGGCTCCGAGCCACCGCATCACACACATACAAGCTGCTAAAAATTCAGGACACTGAGCAATCCTTTCTCTCCGAACAGAAACGTACCCTTTCTTTGGTGATTTTCTGGCACTGACTGCTGGCCTTTAGTTTCCACAACCTCACGGGATGATGTCATGGGAAGCTCAGTGACTTTACACTTCATGCTGGCTCATACTGCTTGAATTCGTACCTTTAAGCTAGTGTTGGAGCGTGGATGGCTGAGGTTGTTGAATCTCCAGGGCTCAGATGGGGTGTCATGGGGCTCCCTGTGGAAGTCTGGGGTCATACCATCAGGCCCAGGAAGCTGGAATATGCCCATGGAGATGGGACGCTCTTTCCTGGAGATTGGGAGAGTCCGAAAGCAACATTTTATTTGTCATAGAACTTATACTTGAATTTGATTCATTCGTCCCAGAATTACAGCCGATGATAATGGCAAGAACATATTAGCATGTATATGGCCATGAAACTGAGAATGGCTCAGAGGAAACACCCAGAACATGGTTTACACATCGGTGGTTACAGACAATCTGTGCCACATTTCATAATCAATTCATTATACTCAACTTACACATGACCCTGATTCTCAAACCTGTAAACCACCTTTAATGAACATGGATCCAGGTTTTTTTTCTTTAACACGTGGTCGTGTCTTTGCATGATTGAACTTTAACCTTCATTTAACAATGAGGAGGGAGGCAACCATTGACCATCAGAAATCTTCAGATTTTTTATAATATTTTCATATAACATTCTCCAGATGACTAAACATTAAAAGTATAAGTTCCATCGCTCGGGAAAAGCTGTCGCAGTTGCAAGTTTTTAATGACAGACGTAACTAATGATTTCTTCTTAAAAGGCTCAACCTCTCGAAGGTCTACTTAAAATAAAAATAAACTGCACACGTATCCATTAACATGATTAGGTAAGAAACATCCTTCCATCTTACTTTTCTCAAGTTTTTCAGGAAATAGTAAAATGTCTCACTTTCAACTGTTCATGTTTTCCTGTTATTGATTTAGGATACCTTTAAATCCAGATTTCATAGACATTTTCCAAAGCAAGCCCACTTGTATGTAACTGGGGTTATCAATAGACAGTTTTGATGACACTATAAAAAATCAATCATCATCATCATCATCATCATCCAAGTATCATAAATGAGATTTATTTTAAAAACAACCCTGTTTAAAGCTAAATAGTGAGATGGGATTTGGTCACTAAAGAACTTTTTAGAAGAGTTTGGTACGAAGACATCTAATTTATAGTGAGCAATAAGGAGAAGGAAAGGTAAAAGGGTTAGTCCATAAACCATGTCAATGTTTTCATTAGTTTTAGAAGGCTTTCTTCTCATTGTTCCCCCTGACCACACAGAATGTGTTAGTAGGTAAAACTAAATTCTGTTACTAAGACTGAGGCTGTTGAAATAATAAATCCTTTAATCTGCTTCAGCTAAAATTAAATGGGCATGAGATTCTAAATCTAAACGTCACAACGACTCCCTTGATGCTGAAATAGAGGAAATAACTCCCCCAAAAGCCAGCAGTAATGGTCTGAACCTTTACCAACTCAGAGCACTGAAAGACCAAAGATATGCTGTAAAAACACACACAGCACCCTCACCATGGGCAGCTTTTAGAATGGAAGAAAGTGGCTAGAACAATGGCTGCAATGGTGAACACAGCAGCCAGCACAGGCCAGAAACAATGGGCCCCCCACCACAGGGACAGGAAAGGGTCAACTGGGGGCCAGTTTTGGTGACCAGCAACAGCCATTAAAAACAGAAATATCCAGTTTCCCAGTGGAGTCACTTTGTAAAATCACAATAATTCTAACGAGTAACTGACTCCAATAACTCCAAATATCCCAAAAAAGAAAGCCTGGCTCCGTTTGCACCTGAGCTGACCTACTTTCAGTGTGCAGTCTCATGCTGACTGGCTGTAACACGCCCACATGGCAGCATCAGGGAGACTGCAAGCCTACAGCCTAGCTCTGGCTACAAACAGCAGAAGCAAGTATTAGCTGTGATGCACCAACTTCTCACACACACTCACACACACACACACACACAGCCTGTACCTGCTCGGCCTGGGTAAGGAGGGCAAGGAAGGCAGGGCGGGTAAGCCTCCGGTGGAGACAGAGTAGTGAACCAGCAGCAGCACTGACAGAGACACCAGTACAGCAGAGTTGATGACCACTGCACCCCCTACGAAACCAAAAACAAACAGCAGCATGCACCCGGGGCTCATGGCCCCCCCCGGCTCATGGCCCAGTGCCTGGCCACGGAGCGGGAGGTTGCCGAGGCTGAGCGGCGGCGGGCTCCAGAGGCTGAGAGCGGCCGGCTCTGGGTGGTGAGGCAGTCAGAGCCGCAGCGGGTCAAAAGCAGCGACCGTGTGTCAGCAGCAGGCACAAAAGAGCTAATCCTGGTGGACTCAGCACCGTGGGGGGGGGGGCGGGGGGCGGAGATCATCCAGCGGAGGCTGGGGGCAGCAGCAGCTCTCCTACGCTGGCAGCAGACTCTGCTCTCCGTCCAGCTTTCCTCCCCCCGTCAGCGGCTGAGATGCTGCTGTGCAGTCTAGAACACTCTGAGGCTCTCCCCCACTCGCTGTCATGGCACCCAGCCCCCTCCCTCCCCGTCTCTCCCTCTGGTTTGGATGCTGAGGCAGCTTGTTCCGTATGCCTGCCCTCGGGCAGTGACAACAGGAGGCCCTATCAAAGCCAGAGTGAGGACAGCACAGTGCACATGGAAGCCAGACCTCCCAGACCTGCCACAGCTAACAGCGGGGTACGCTCAGGATGCAGGAAGTCAAAGAAAAAAGTTACTTTCTAGACTGAGGGCTTCACTGATGCTCCATGGCAGCTGTGGTGTGAGTGTAAAAAGTCACAATTGTATAAAGTATAGACATAAAAAACAAGATAGGACTATTTGGAATATCTATAGAACATTAATATCTGATCAGTCAAGCCAAAAGGAGGTAAAGCAGCTTAAAGATGAGCATTAAAAGTGGGAGCAATGAGCTATGTCCTGTGAGGCTCTCCCCCAGGGAACAGCGGCCTCTCCTGGTGACACCACAGAGAGCTGCACTCACATACTCCCTCCAACCCCCCCCCCCTGCCTTGTTTACATCTAATTGAGGTGACTCTGTACTCAGCATCTCTGTCCATAACCGATGCAAACGTCTGAGAGGTCCAGGAGGTGACGGGACTGACACAAGAAGGCAGAGGAACATTTTCCTGGCTTGTCGGGGATTCCGGGAAATGGATTCATACCTTTAGGACCTCAAGTCTGACCCCGTGCAGAAGTGTAGCTTAGAAACATGCTTACTGCTAAGCTATCCAACAATATTGGGTGTTTGGAATAGAGAAAAGTAGCAGAAAACCATGACACTTTGAGGTGTGGGAATTGTCTTTGGGTAAGGACATTTCTCATCAGGACACCAAAAGAAAAATCACAAACTATGACTCGAGACTTGGGAGGCAACACTGCCGAAAAGCTAAAGATTAAAACATTGACGGGAGTAATTCAAATTAAACAGAGGCTCCCTGTGATCAGCCATAATCTGCTCCACTAAATGAGTTTTTCACCGTACTGATGTGGATTATTTTCGGCTGCAAACACACACGCACACACAGGCACACTCACACGCATAAACACAGCTGTGTTAGAGTTTCTGTACAGTCCCAAGGCTAATGCAGGCTTACAATATTCATTTTATTATTTTTTTCTTCATTTCTGCTGTGTTTACAGAGAGGATTCAGAGGTGATCCAGCACAGTGCAGAAAAACACTCACAAGAACGTAATTGTAAAGCACCAAACACTTCTCTTCCTTAAATCAGTGTAAATCAGTGATACAGCATTTTGTTTTCAGTAAAACTGAGTTTATTTTCTGAGTGATGAGCTAACATCCTTGCTACAAAGAGGAAATATGGAATCTGTGAAAAGTGGATCCGCTCCATGGATCAGCTGCTTTTAAAGGGCCAGCATGTGTAAACAACAACAGAGAGGGGGGGCTGTCTCACCGCGTTCGAGCCGATGGGCCTGTGTCTGAGGGCTCTGCGGGAGTTGCTGCCTGCTGGTGCTTTGTCCTCTCCAGGTGCTCCATGTAGCTGTGGATCATCTGTAAGACACCACCACACTTAGCCAACTTCAAATAAACCAGAGGATGTCAGTTACAAGCATTTGTGAGCAGTCTAAATGAGTCCTATAAAATCCTGTCTCAAATATTAAGGCCTCTGCTTAGAGGCCCAGCTGTAAGCAGCCCGACTCGCAGCAGGGAGAAGATGCTCCCACCGTGTGTTTGTGACAGCATTTGTGTCCTGAGCTTTGTTTGGACATCGAGACATCTGTCAGTGATACATAATGGGTGAAAGAGCTGGACCAGGGGCTCAGCAGGAGCTTTGTTAAAGTCCCACTCATCACCAGGCTGGATGCACGTTCATCACATCCAATTCAGCCTTCCTGTTTTTTCACAAATATTTTGTTCTTATAGCTGCTTTTATGTGTTTAAGTCCTGTACTGCTACTTCTGGCATACAGCCACTGGTCTCTACATGTCAGAGTTATTTCACATTCAACCACAACATTTCGAGTTCATGCTGGAACAAATGTGTTAACCAAATAATAAGCTGACAAAAAGATAATATATAGTGAAAGGGTGGGGCAGGTTTATTACAAAAGAAGGATTAAATGGGGATGAGTGGCAGATGTGGACACAGGTCTTTACGTGGCACTCACAGGTTACTCCTACAAATAAATGAAGCTCATAAAACCAGCCTTGTGCTGAGATGCCGTCACATCCATGTGCGACTGACAGTGATATCTGACTGTAAATGATACCAGCCAGCCGGCATACCTCAGTGTGTCTCTGATGAAGGCCATTGTACTCCTTCTTCAGCTCCGCTTCCCTTTCCTCGAATCTGATAACTGGATCAGAAAGATAGAGTTAAACTTCATACAAACACATTTGCATGCATCAACATGTCCCTCTCATGATCTGCTCTGATGCGTCTGTGTGAAGCTCCAATACTTTTACATGCCGTGTCAGCTCTGTTGCAAAAGTGTTAAAGTAATGTCATCTCAGAGCCAGCAGAGGGCGACAATACATTTAAAAAACTCTCCACTGAACTGGTGAAGCAGAATTTTGGTACCCTGGTCTTTAAAATCATCATGGCTCAACAGCTTTGTTGAAATGGAGCTCATTTTGACAATGTCTTCGATTTACAACAGCATCACACAGCAATCAAGACGAAAACAAACAAACACAACAACGGTTCATGTTAGCAAAGAAAGAGAAGGAGCCAAAACTGAGCTGAAATGGATGAAGCAGATATCGGCCTTAAATCCAGCTACAACTTACTGGTTCCAGTTTTGTAGGCTGTCAGGAAGCTGTTTGTTCAGAGGGAAAAAAAGGTTTGACATGAAGGCTGAACATTCACACTCAGTCTTTCACACAGAGATAATTCACAGCACCTTCCCTTCTGAACACTTCAGGTTTTTAGTCCTTCACTCAGAGCAAACTGGGATGAAAACTGTCAGTCTGGGCAATTTTGAGGAAGTGGAGATTAAGAAAACAGATCAGAAATAGCCCAGGTGTGATACAGATGTGTGCAGAGAAAAATCATCCACAGAGAGAGTCCCACATGTGACAGATGAATATTTCCAGCTCAAAGAACACATCTCAGCCAGTACCTTCTTAAAAATAGATGCTGGAGTTTGAATGGTTTGTGGAAGCACAGCTGGGTTAAAATGTAGGTTTCAATCTAACAGGAAGTCGATGTAAACAACAGATAAAATAATAAATGAGTGGGATGACAGTTTTTAAACCCGTCCTCCATATTTTGTGTCATAACTAAGGCAGCAATAACTAAATTTAAAAAAAGATAACGATTATATTAAGAAGATGAGACTGGAAATAAATTGGAGCATGCTCTTGAGTTTGCAGTTGTGCAGAGAGGACAATCAGCCGGGCAAACGGCACACAACCAAAGGGAGAAAACAACAATCGCTCAAACAAAACCGATTTTAAAAAAAAAAGGAGAAGTAGCACATGAGAGGAAATAAAAAGCTGAGAACTATCAAATTCCCCCTGGGTGCAACGGCTGGTTGTGTCCCGGCCCTGCGGCTGAAACTAACCGTGCAGTCATGCACTCATCATGAGGGGTTTTGTCTTTTACCGCCCTGGAAACACAATCGCTCCGAGTCTGAAGGATCTTATTTCATACTTGAGAAGGGCCTGCAAAATGTCAGTTGTCAATAATACATGGATCCTTCAGGCATATTAACACAGACAAAAACAGATAAATGGGTTGAGGAAAGGTTCAGGTTAAACGAGGGCAAAACTGGCAGTGGCTGCATGTCTGATCAATCCATTTAGTCTGCTGAAACTGGGTAGGCCACGTTCATCGCTCGTTACTACGGCCTTCACTGGGCAGGGACACGAAGCCCACACAGCCTCCAGCACATCAGTCAGCAGACCTGCAGCTCACAGCATTCATGCACAGTTAGAGGGCAGAGGGCAGGGGACTTACTCTGGTCGGCGTAGTTCTTAGTTTTCATCTCCAGCTGCCGTGTCTGCGACTCCAGCACCACCACTCGACTCTGGAGGTCCTTCTTCTCACCGTCCTGGGAATCTTCCAGGGCAATGTACCTCTGCAGAGAAACAGGAGGGAGGCAGACGTTTGTCAGCGGGCCGCTGACACAAACGGGAGTAACAAGGGCCTGTGAGCTTCAGCTGGCGGGGCGCTGATGAGTCTGAGGCACGCAGACATGTCAGCACTCGGTTCTTCTCAGAGTCTGGAGAAGGCAGCTCTATAGAGAACACATGAGTGTACAGGAGGAAACCATGGATGGACTCATCTGTGTGTGCTTCAGAGAGAGGACATTGACACACCTTTATCGGAGTCAATGGATGTTAAACTATGAGGTGATTACACTTAATTAAATTTGAATAAAAACAGTATCAAGATGACTCTGTGGCTCATTGAAATTAAATCACGGCTATGAAATGCTAGACCTGAATCATCAGAGTAAAGATTTTAAGGCCGATAGACTGCAACAGTATGGAATTAAAGAACCGTCAAAAGAGGATTGACAGTGGATTCATAATTTGTATGTGAACTTAACAGCTGTGGGTGCAAAGCATTGTGAGCACAACTCTAATTTCCATGACCACAAAGTCCTAACTGCTGTGGACACCAATTCAAGTGTGTGGGTACGAAATAAAATGACATCACAGAGGGGAGTAGTGACACCCTGAATCCACCAATCACAACATTACACTCTGCTTCTGAGACGGAGGGACGCTCCCCGAGCGGACACAGCTCAAAACACACGCTCCATCTGATGAGGACGCCGGCTAAAACACTGGAACTAAAGCGGATCGGTCACAGCGCAATGATGAATGAAAGGTTGACGTCAGCACGGACGCTCAGCGGAACAAATCCAGTCACTTTTACTAAACTGGCTGCCATTCACACAGCTTTGCTGCCTGTTTGGCTAAAAAGATTCAAAATCTGCTTGTAAAACAATAATGAAACAATAAAAAAGACGCAGCTGAATCTTCCTGGTCTGAAGGGGAAATGGAGCATCATTTACTCGCAGTGCATTTAGAAACAGCGGCGGAGTTCTGAGGCATTAGACTCAAATAAAACCCGTGGCCTGGCTCCTGATCTATGACGGAGCCCTGCCAGGCTTGGCACGGTCGGGGTTAAAGCCGCCGCCTCCTCTTCAGCGGCTCAGCTGAGTCAGGTGTCTGAGGCCGGGCCTGTAAACAGGCCATCTTGTGATGTCCTCCCTCTGGGGAGGAGAGGCCCAGCGGCCTGTGCAGCCCTTATCTGCACAGGAATGAGGGTCACCTGGGCATCCGATTACAAGCAGCTCCTTATTTATGTACACGCCGAAACCAGAGGCTCCTCACAAAGGAGTTTCATCAAACTGCCTTTGGGGAATCCTTAAAAACAATGCTAAAATTCATTTAATCTATTCGTGGATAAGCCTCCAGCTCTCTTCCAGATGGTTCAAACCACTTCACACCTCTGAATGCCCTTTTTTCATAACAAAGTCAGATTATTTTGCTTCAACAGGAGATTCTAGAGATAAAGTCTTATTCTAAATACAACCAGAGGGGCCTATTAAGCAACTGAAGGGTGTAATGCAACAATCTACCTTTCTGCATCTAGCAGACTCTTTGATCCGACGTCCAAAAAGAGGCTTTGACATTCAGCTCCAACACCAGTTCCACACTCAGCTCACCTTGTGTGCAACATGCTAGAAGAGGATTCAACATTTAACTGTCACAGATTCCACAGGTAGCAGACACTCAATCTGTACAGCTGCTGCACAATTCTGAGAGCTCACCAACGTCCCTGCTACCAGTGGGGTTGCTTTTGGTGCTCGTTTGTTCTTTTGTCTTCCCTGTGTCCTTTTGCTGGAGCTCCTACAGGTTCTCCACCTGGATTGCCCACAAGGAACAGTTTATTTTTTACAGACATAGCAGCTGGTTGTGTGGTTTTGTTGTCTTACTTTTTCTCTTGCTGTCTAAAGGATCTCTCTCCTTTCTTTCCTCTGCTCTTCTTTCTTTCCTGTTTCTCTGCCAGGTTCGGCATTATTGGACACATGTAAGTTTGGTAACAAAAATGAATAAATAAAGCAGTTTTGGGTAATCAAGGGGGACTTCTCACTAACAAAGCCTCCCTTGGCAAAGCATTTTTTTCTGCATTGCATGGTACTCAGATTTCAGTTTTGCTGCCATCATGCTGAGAAGGACACGGTAAAAAACAACCACAACAAAAACACTCAGCCCCTCCTACGGCTGGACTACAGGTGAGAGGGTGGAGCCCTGAGGTGTGCGGACAGCTGAAGTGCCACTCAGATCCCTTTGAGAGTTTAACAGTTGAGAGAAAACAACATGACGCACAAACCCAAAGCTGCACACACACACACAGCCGTGCACACAGCTCCTGCTCCTCATATGACCCGGGACAGGGGCCTGGGCATATGACAGCGCTCCGGAGAATGAGTGTTTTTCCATTTCAACACATCCTCTTCGCCCAACTATGCATATATAATGCACTCTTTGTCCCCGAGTGCCAACACACACTAATGCACACAAACACGTGTGGCTCCAGAACAAGTGTGCACACTCCCACACAGACAGGGCTCCACTGTATTGGAAGTCAATTGACAGAGAGAAACCAGCTCCTTTGAGTGGTTTTGGCTGCAGATCACCAGGCAGACATTTGGGATAGTGGGGCTACGGACGCAATAACCAGTCAGGCTCTGTCATTCCTCTGGTCAGGTTACTTATACGTTATCTTAATTAGCTGAAAACGTTCCTGCACTCTTTTACCCAATCAAAGCAGCGGATGGCTTCAGGGGTTAAGTAGTTTAAATGAAAATGCAGAAATAAATAGACACTGATTATTATCAGCAGCTTGCTCTCATGTCTACAGTCTGAGCTGTAATTTGATCAAAGCTCATCAGAAGGTTTGTGGGAAATGATCCAAAGAATACATAACGTGCAACACTTTCTATAAAGCGGTAAAATATTTGACCGGTCCAGGTTTGCAAACGCAAGAACGACATGGGAGTGATTTTAAAATCCTGACTGGGCTCATACAGCAGGCCTCCTGGTGGCTCTGGGGAAAATGATCCCATCCAAAAGTCTGAGCGCTGACCTACCTACTGGCCTCAGTGACCAGCAGAGTGAGGGCAGATCCGTCTGGATCACGGCTGTTGGTGAAAAGGGAGGAGACTGCTGGTCACTAAAGTGTGTCTAAAGACAAACTGAGAATGTGGGTGCAGCTTATCGATCATCATCCATCCAACTGCTGATTAATCTGAATCTTTGTGGATTCATGATGCTACTGAGGAGAAAAGGCTCAGTCATGGTTCTGTCTTCAGGCTGCCATCTAATCGTGCGTGACCTCGTTAAAAACTGCCTCCTGGCACGCGTCACTAATGTGTGGGGACCAATCAGGCGGGATCCCATCTAACCAGGCTGTGGCCTTTCAGGGGTCAGTGGCTCAAAGACCTGGGGGAAGTTCTGTTTTTCCCAAAGAATTTCCTGCCGTGCCTTTTCCTCTCCTTTGCTGAGACAGCCAGTAATGGGACGCATTCTGCTGCCCGGAGCAAAGAAAAGCACAGCTTGTCTCAAAAACTGTGTCTGTTTGGGCAGATTAAAGCACCTCAATTTATCTGAGGTCCAAATAGCAGCTTAGACTCTGTATCTGGGGCCTGTTGGTGATTGGCCTCCTGTGCTTTAGTGTTCTTTGGAAACCAGCAGCAGCTATGAGGCCATGACATCTCTTCCCAGTACCTTCACTTTGCTGTTCACGTCAGAGGAGGCTGAGGTTTATGAGCTCAGGTTGACACTTGACTTCTTCTAATCCAGAAAGCATACTTACAGAAGTTCTAACTCCGTTACAGTCAACGCTCTGAGAAAACTGTGGTAGCGACGGCCTCAGAGAGCTGAAACTCATCACAGAGCAGAGGATTCATTTATGAATGAGGGGAAGCTACTATGACCTCCTATACTAACTCTTCCCCAGACCTCTGTACCCTCTACTCCTCTTTCTGTGCTTCTCTCTCTCTCTTTGCTGTCACCGCTGATTCTGACTTGGAATTTTCCTCTAGAGAACAGATTGTCATATAACTGTAAAATTGTGTCTACTTTGTAAGTCGCTTTGGATTTAAGCTGCTAAATGCAGAAACATAAACAAACATAAACCTCAGTGAAAGGATCAGGGATGGAGAAACTTTACAGGCATTTTAAGAAAATGCATGCATGTTATTGGACATCAGAACCTGGCTGGATTTACCTCAGAGTTAGCTGCGTTACAGATTTGGTTCTGGATGGAAGGACCTAAGCAACAGTCCTAAATGTGTAGACAGACTTCAGAAATGGTAAGTGGACTGTATCTGTGTAGCTCTTCTCTAGTCTATCTGAACACTAGAAGTACTTTTACACTACGCCTCCCCTACCTCTCCCCTCCTCATCCCTTTTACCCCCCCCATCATCTTCCCCCAGGCAGCAGCAACTGTAACACTGAACACAGATTGGTCTGCCGTCTCCATGTGGGAAAGGTCTCGACTCCCCTGAGAGGAAAAAGCCAAACCTTTAAAGCAGACTGTACAACAACCTCCTGTGGTAAAATAACCTCCTGTGGTAAAATAACTGTTAAAAATATGAATAAGATGCATAAATAAATGATTAAAGATGACAGCAAAGGGAGAGAATGACTTTCTATGAGGGCATGGTGGCACACAGCAGGCCTGTGATGGAAAACTATTGAGCGTAGGACAATTAAAGAGCGGTAGCAACGTGTTACAACACGACATCAATTATTAACGTGCTGCTCTGTGACCCGTCAAGCCTGACATGTAGCATTTATGCATCAGGGCAAATGTCAACCAGGAGAAGAGTTCGTCTGGATTCACAGGATGCTGTACTCTCCACAGTCTTATCGCAAACTAATAAAATGTCTCACCTGAATGCCACTCCTAGACTAACGCTGGGAGGACATCACTGACTTTGTTGAGATTGTGAATATAGAGGTGGGGAAAGGAGGCAGAACCAGAGCAAGTCCTGCAGGACGGCAGGGGCTCGCCTACACGAGGAGGAATGCTGTGTGATTTAACGTTAAGCCCTTCAAATCTTTAAGTTATTCAGATGTTTTGGGGGAAAAGAATGATAATACAAAAAAGAACTAAATGAGAGCTAGATTTGTGGCAGCAGCTCAGGATGCAGGGCGGCTGCTCTCTGAACAGGAAGTTGTTGGTGCTCAGCTTCTCCAGTGTCACCTGTCAAACAGAAAGAGTAGGACGGCCAGGCTCACCGCCTCTCTGGACTCAGCTCTGGGTCAAAAGGTCTGGATGAACAACATCCACATCAGGGTAGAGTGGTTTTACCATCAAAATTCCTTTAGGGTACTTCACTTTTTAAAAACCTTTGAGTTAGGATAAAGCGCCTTACATCCTCAGAATGATGGCCACATTCTTCACTGATCCCGTGCCACAGCTTTAGGCAGTGACGGCAAAGTAAAGGCGCAAAAGCCCTTTTTTTTTAGTGAAGGAGGAGGTGAACAATGCTGATAAAAGTCTGGGCTTTCCCGCATATGTTCCAGGAAAATAGGAAGTAGGAGCAGCATGTGCTTGCATAGTTCAGATTGTTTAGTAAGTGTCCAATGACGTTAATTCTGCGATCGTCAATATTAAAAATGCATAATACATGCCATAATGAACGACATCGCACTGACACAAACCCAATGAAACCTCAGAGTTGGTCCACGTAATAAGCATTTACAGTGTTGACGACCACAGAAATAATGAAATGGGCCGTTTGTTATTTCTACATTTCTAAAATAGGCCGGGTTCTCCTGTAGGAGTGGAGGTCACCACTCATTGGGTCTTTGAGGATGAGCTGCAGGTCTAGATGTGGGACTCAGCTCGTTCAGATCTGTGCTGAATTATTTCCCAATATTTCTCAAAGACGCCACTTAAAGATAAAGTTCATCTGCTGTCTACAAGCTGCCTTTTTTGTTTATTTTCTTCAGTTTTTTCAGGGTAAACCATGCTGAGATATGCTAAATCCTATGTAAACACTGTGATTTATTACTTTAACTTGGTTATCTATTAAGTTGCGTACAATATGTACACACAACTCTGATTCTTCCATTGAGTTTGAGACCTCTTTTATACTTGAATGATTCAGATAAAAAGAAAAATCAGTTATTTCTGAAGGCGGTGTCCCCCATTGGGGAGGCAGAGCCTCAGCATCCCTTACAGGGCTCTTAGATCTGTAAAGGGGTAAAGTCAGAAGCAAATGTTGGCCAGGACTCTAAATAATGTCTGTAAATAGTTTTTTACAGCTATTTTAAGCCGATCTTGGACTGTGCACTGAGGAACTTGCACGGAAAAGTCCAGAAGGGATGAGGGGAATAGCAACAAGTGTTACACCGATGGATGCTCTGGTCAGAGGGGGGCATCAGGGGGAGTCCAGCTCCCCTCTGTGAGTCCGGTCTGAGCAGCAGGGTCAGCAGGACCTCCGAACCGCCTCTGGACACCCGGACTGGTCATTTCGGGGCTCGTTCAAGTCAGGCAGCCGTTAAACACCGCCAACTCTAAGCTCTCACTCCCAGCCTTTAATCCCACTCTTAAACGAGTTTGGCAGTGGGTTATCGGGACTGACCTCCTCTACGTGTTTCCGCAGAGATTTCTCCCGCTCGTACTGGGTGACCAGCTGCTCGTTGTCCTCCTTGAGCAGCTCCAGCTCCACTTCGTGCTCCTGGTTGACGGCGAACACCGAGTCCAGGTTCTCCAGCACGGCGACGACCAGCGGCATCAGCTCCTTCACCACGTCCTCGTCGTACTTCTCGATGAGCCGCTCGAACTCGCGGTATATGGAGCTGGCCAGACCCGAGACCCGCTCGGACATCATGGTGGAGTTGCCCGAGTCGTCCTGATACAGGACCACGTCGTCCAGCTCCATTTTCGAGCCCCCCGCTTCCACTTCTTCCCCCAGCTAATGTTTGGAAGCTAACCAAAGCTTCGTCCGCCCGGAGTCTGTTCGCTTTATACTTAATGGCTCACCGGTCAGCGGTTTCCTTTAAAACATGGCTCCAGTGTTGTTGGTTTTTGGACAGAGGAGACGCGACACCTCCTGAACAAAGTCAGTATTCCTCTGCCGCCTGGACGGCGGACTTTAGAGCCGTGCTAGCGCAGCAGCTAGCAGCCCTGAAAAGTCTTTACTTTGCTCCTGATTAGTTTCCCTGTCCAACAGATGAGCTTCTATTTGCTGCGTTCAAGGACCGTCGGAGAGACGGTGACAAGCGCCGTTCGAGTTTCAAAGTTTCACACAGAAGAACAAACGCCTTCGTGTTTCTAAATACACACAGTCCCGAGTCTTGTGTAGCCACGGATTTACAGTTTGTATCACTTTCACTTCTTAAACTAATAATTATGCCCGCTATTGCTCGTATTTATAGTTCAGTTAAAGTTGGGTGACGTTCCAGGGGCGGAGAATAACGTGGAACAAAACAAACCCGTGGTTTGAAGGAATCCCATTAAAAGAAAAAGTTACAATTTCGTCTGCAAGTTCAGAGTTGTTTCCTTCTGATCGGTCTCCATTTCTGATTAATTCCTCGCATTATGTCACATCCGGAATGTCTTCATTCAGCTACAGAATTTATCTGAATTTTTGCAACCGCAAAAATTAGAGATGCTGGTCTACAATATCATCTGAAAATTTCACGGCAAAAGCGTGTAAGTGTGTTTTTCAGGCAACAGCCCAGCTACATGTCATGAGTTTGAGAAAAAAGCCTTACAAGCATCACTTGAATTTGTCATGTGCCGGTGACGGGACGTTGCGTTGACGTCATATGCTATTAAAAAAAAAGGGGGGGGGGGGGGAGAAAATTGACCACTCCCTGCAATGGGAATATTTCAGTCACCCTCCAGATATACACATCTACAAATAAGTTGGGCTGACGGACTGATTGCATTGCCTTTTACTATCACCATTACTTTTCTGTTGTGTATTTGTAATTTTATTAAGTTTAAAAAAAAAAGGAAAAAAGTGAAGTTCACAACACTTTTATTCTTATGTTGTCAGATGCATTCCCATAATGTGAAATGTGTATGCAGGCATGAGCTGAGTCACAAGTTAACATTCTACATTTCCTTGGGGGGGGGGTCTCCATTTCCATGGCATGTAAACATATGACCACAGAATTTATAAGAACAATGTTTTTTTCTTTTAGATTTCCCTTGAATGTCTTGTTTGTGCCATAATAACATGGAATACTGTTGCCTTGCTCTCATTAAATGCATAGGCACTGTTCACCCTGATGTCTCCAGACAATAAAATACAAGACATGCTAACTACAATTATTACATGACCACATTTTGAAATAAACGTATTCTTTGCCTCTCTCTCCGTCAGCCACCTTCTGCCAACTTCAAAAATAAACAAAACCAGGGGAGGCAGCTTTTGCCAACTACACACTCACATGGCACAAAACATCACACACTGACGTTACAGTTAAACTGCAGCATTGTCAAATATACACAACACGCATTCGTGTTGCTCTTGGAGCAACTCAAAGTTTAAATAAACCACTTTTTTTTTGCATTAAATAATTAGAAGCCCAACTGAGCAAGTCCCTGTGTGCATCTCCTTCAAATCAATCATTTTTGGCAACCACAGTAAGAAACAGCATCCTGTCTTCCGTCAGTGTTACAATCAAGTAGAAATGTGTGGAGAAGCCACAGAATCACACATGGGACCCAAATAAAACAGAGAAAGCCAGAAAAAGTCAGCCTGGGATAACGGTAACGTGAGTAGCTGAAAGGTCCTGTAAACAGGAGTTGGCTTGTGGAGTCGCAGACATATGAACAACGGCCTTCACACGGGATCTCAGATTACATTGTGCTGGCTGTTGTTGGACGCTGAGGGGCAGAGGGAGAAGGGCCTGTCGCTGGTCAGACTGTTGAGTGCTCGGAGGACGGCGTCGGGCATGTGATCCGCCAGCATCCTGGGGCTGATCAGAACACTCCTGAAGGCCATCTCGCTGGACCACTCCGCTCGGTACCGGACCTGGGAGAAACAGGACCTGAGAAAGAACAAAAAAAAAGGGGGTAAAGGAAGTGTCCTGCAATGAAACCGGTATATATACGCAGTTATATATATTAGTGGTGGGCATAGATGCAATTTTTTAATCTAGATTAATCTCGCTTTAATTTTTCAATGAATCTAGATAAATCTATATTAAAATTTGCCGCATTTGAATTCTATAGAAGGACTCCGAATGTGTGTGTGCGCTACCTAAATAATGTCTAAAAGTAAGTCTGTGAGCCAGGTGGTGAATTAGACCTGGGGCACAGGTTCTGTTTCCCACAATGCATCACAAACTGCTTAAGAAAGCTGTTCTACAATGATATTTTGTGTTGGAATTAAATGATCGATGATATTTACTTGTGTTTAATAAATGTTTATTTAGTTAAACATCAATTTTGAACAGTAGGCCTACATAAAGAGATCACACTTGGATCAATCAGCTTTGCTTCTTTGCGTGAGGGAGATTTTTTAAAAATGTATACATTTCTTATTAATATTTCGGGAAATGATTTTGACGTGCATTTGGATTTTTATTTAATTATTTTGAGGTCTAATCAAGAGAAGTTCACCAAAGTTATGTTGTCACTTAGCCCTGGTGAAAGTCATCATAACTTAGGCCCTCCTCCCAACCCACATTTAAGAATAGATTAACGGCGATATTTTTTTTTTATTGCCCGATGAGAGCAGTTCTAATTGCATGAAATGGGGCAGATTTCATTGAGGGGGAAAGAGGTCTCAGCAGAGGTAAGGATGCAATTTCAAAATGTCAGCCGATGTGTACAGTAAGCAGATTAACTGCCAAGTTCCAGAAGCAAGTGGTTTAGTTTTTTTTCCTTTTTTTGTGTTCTCAGTTATAAAACAATGAAGCACACATCTTAAAATGTTAAAAGGGCTTTTGTCCGATTTAAATAGCGGTAAAGTAATTCACTTTCTAAGCAAAATCTTTGTAATAGGTAATGATACAGTGATGTTTCTACCAATTTGCTATCCTAATATGTACAATTTAACAAGTCCTTGCTTATATCAGTTTCTGTTTCCTGGTGTTTTGTCTCATCAAGCTGCCTAACGTTAATATATTCTTTAATTACGGTAACTTTAGCTCTATAAACAAGGTTAACTCCAACGGTCCATGTTTACTCAGAGGGACAGTTTAAATATCCTGTGAGTGCTGACCGCTAATTAGCTTTTAAATAGAGATGCAACTGGAGCGGTTAATGCACAGGTCCTTAATAAGCGGTAGCAGCTGCAGTGCATTGTGGGCTTTGTAGTCCCAGATAGGACAGCTTTTTACCAACGGGCTGCTATCGATGAATATATCAAATAATTTTGCTGGGCCTTATTTTTAAATATACATATTTGGCTAATGCAGGTTGCCTTGCCTTCTTTTAAAGCTTAGAACAGGGAAACCTTAAAATGTGAGCATTCAGCACAAGCTGTGTGTGTCACTGCCTTTTTTTAGTGTTTATGCCTGCAAAATAAGGGGGCTGAAATACTGCTTTTCCCCCTTTGATCTGGTTGTGGGGCTCTGTGAATGGGGGACAGCGTCCTGATCAGGCTGAGATCAGAAACCTGCTGCTGGCCCACTGACCTCCTGGACGGCCCGTCCTCTGTGATGTGCAGGATGCGTCCAGGCAGGAAGAGAGGCAAGTGCGTGGCCGTGTGGGCGGGCGAGTCATCCGACCCAAAGCTCTGATAGGACGAGGAGTGGCGAATCATCAGGGACTCCTCCCCGAGCAGCGGCTGGCTAAGCTGCTCCTCCCTCCGGTTGTCCATCTCGGTGGGGAAATCGTCCGGGTCTCCTCCAAACAGCTCGTACCAGCAGCCCTGGAGCAGGATACGGTACTACAGCGCAGACGGACAGCGTAAATGTGCAATTCCAAAGCTTTGGAAACACGGACAAGCAAAAGGGCTCTCACCTTGGGTTTATTGCAGTTGGAGACTATCTTAAGTATCTTTTTCTTCAGGTCCTCCATGTTTGGAATGCTCAATCTGTGCATGAAGAATCGAATAAGACTGATTAAAAGAGAGCTGCAGAGCCGAGAGGGCGGAGGGCATGTAGGCTGTGGTCAAGGTCCAATAACAGAAGAGCCAAATATAGAGTCCACCTCACACAGAAGTCTCTTACAGTCTGTTTACCCCAGTACATTTGGTCCTCTGAACACAGCAGCTAATAATAACAATAAGACAATAAGAGTCAACAGCTGAAGAGCCGTTGTGTTGTTCTCACCTCGGAACCAGATCCTTTCCCAGGACGACAGACACCACAAAGTCCTTGGAGTAATCTGCTAAGGCTTTGCTGTAAAAACAGGATGCAAAGGGCAGAAAATAAGGGCATTAATGACACATCAGTCTGATGACCAAATTAAGGTTTCCCCACTGACTCAGGCCGTTGCTAAAGAACGAAAAATGCCATGAAATGAGGGTCTTCGTATGCTTTTGGAATCATCTTGAGTTGAAAAGAAAAAGAAATACAGTACCCCAAATCAGAAAAGCTGGACTGGGACAAAAAAACAAACTCCTTAATTAAGATAAAAGAAATTAGCACACTTAAGAATGTATTTCTCGTTTAGGTCTTCCTGGTGAAATTTTTCTGCTGACACTGCATGTTTCCAGATGCCTACAAGCCCAGTGAACCTGATGCCTCTTTACAGGGCTAACACAAGTCTCTTTGGTTTTCTCTTTGTTTTTTGTTTTTTTTACTAATATTTTAATAGCATTAGAATCTGTAACTCTTGTTCCTTTTCCTTTCCCATGTGGTGACATCATCTTCTGATGAAAGGTACATGGATTCAGACTTTTTTTCTCTTTAAAAACGGTGTTCCATCTCTTGCTGGCAGTTTTTTTTTTCAGACAGCATAACTACTCACAGACATCTTAGCTTGTGGCTGGCGACTGCTTGTTAACCTCCGCTGGGCTTTAAAATGGGCCGGGACCTTCTGGCCTGGGCCCTCTTACCTCAGGAGTCCCCCTGGTGGAGAGAATGAGTAACACTGCAGAGTGGGAAAGGATTTTCGCAGGAGGATGGCCAAGAGTGCAGCAGTGCCAGCCCCCAAACTGTGACCCGTGATCACCAGCTTATACTCCTGAGGACACAAGAGAGACAAAAGAGTTTGAAAATAAATCTGGCACAGCTGAAAACAAACAGCCTGAGTTAAGAGGAGCTATTGTAAAATATCTACCAATGTGAAGATCTTATCCTCTTATAGATTCATATCTTTAAACTGGACTAAAAAGTTCACAGAGGACAGATGCAATCCTCCTTACAGGTGCGATGGAGAAGGCCTGGTTCAGGATGCCATCGTTGACCAGCTTCTTGTAGATGTAGCCGGCCGCCTGGGACATGCCCTACGGGACATACTCAGTCCATGAGGAAAACTCACACCTGAATGTGGATCAAACCTGGACACAGACTGCTAGGGGCGAGCCTCACTTTGTGAGCGTAGCAGGCTCCACACACTCCCTCTACAGACAGGTTCTCACACTCCGCAGACAGGTCGGTCAGGACGTCCTGCAGGGAACAAACCTCATCAGACCAGCAATAAAAAAAATTTAAAAAAACTTCTAAATCTAGGGAATGATTGGATTAATTCACTTTGGATAAAAGCGTCTGCTACAATGCATACACATGAACACCACCCCATCATCACACATGAATTCAGACAGTAGCAAAAGTGCATTTGACAATTAGGAGAAAAAGCAGATAATCAGCTACTCTTTGCATTTTTCAATCCAATCTGTCGATCTAGACTATTTTGTTTGCAGTGCTGAGGCAGATTGTCCTTCTAAAAAGGAATATTGTTCCCATGAAGGAGAGTGTGATGCTACAGTAACATGAGAGACAGAGGGCTTGCTCTGTGAGCTCCCCCACAGGCATGGGGCCAAAGGGACAATCCCATCCACATTATCTACATCAAAGGGGATCACAAGTTCAGGACCACATCGTCCATTGCTCCATGATCCATTTGTGATGCTGACTCATCAATTTAGGGGCATTTCTAACACATGGAGCCATAGGCGACAACTCTGTGTACCACCTCTATCTGTACAGCAGCTCCTCTACAGTGTTAATTATTGTGCCTATTGATATTTCCCACCAACTTAGGTCACAGGGAGGCTTGCTTTAATGCTTTAAAGGTCTGGCAGCTTCACAGAAAAAACGTTTATATGCGCCCACAGAAAAGTGGACATGTGATCCTGAGATAAGCAGGATAAAGGTGGATTTACATCTTTAGTATAACTCCTGTGGGAGGTTTGGGGTAGGACTTACCTTCAGTGAAAGCGTTCCTCTGACAGCCACCAGAACCGCCTCCCTCTGATGATCCAGAGCCACGAAGAAAGGGATCTCAAAGATCTGTAGTGAGTCACCATTGAGTCATAACGGTGGGGGGTGGACCCGGAAACCCCAGAGAGAACGCGGGGACCGACCTGGTTGTGGAAGCTGACGTAGATGAAGTCCCTGTACTGCAGGCCGGTGCTGTGCAGGATGGAGGAGAAGTGGCAGTCCAGGTGGTCCCCCCCCACCACGTCGTGCTCGGCGGCGCGGCTCCTGCAGCTGGAAGGCGCCACAGCATGGAGCGGCTGTCTTTACTCTGAGCAGAGCCAGACCCCCCGGCCGGACGGAGGCTTACCAGTCTCCGCTGAGCTTGCAGGGCGCGGTGAAGGGGTTGGAGTAGACGTAGAGAGGCCAGCCGTACGCCGCCGCCGCGAAGCGCATGCAGTGGGCCGCTTTCTCCAGCTCCGCCTCCATGTCCTGGTCCTAAAACACAGCCAAAGATGCAGTCCACACAGACCAGTGGACTTCCATCCTGTCTGATCTCGGCCCTGCTGGTCCGTGTCTTGATTGCGGCACGGTGGCGTGGTGATTAGCACCGTCACCTCACAGCAAAAAGGTTCTGGGTTAGAGTCCCGGGGGGACCAGGACCAGAGGGTTCTGGGTTGGAGTCCCGGGGGAACCAGGACCTTTCTGGGTGGAGTCTGCATGTTCTCCTGTGTCTGTGGATTCTCTCTGGGTTCTCCAGCTTCCTCCCACCATCCAAAAACCTGCATGTTAGGTTGGTTGGACTCCAAACTGCCCTTAGTGTGAGTGTGTGTGGTTGTTGGTCCTTGTGTGTCTCTGTGTGTCCCTGTGATGGACTGGGGATCGTCCAGGGTGACCCCACCTCTCCCCACTGGCTACTGGGATAGTCTCCAGTCCCCCCCGACCCCATTGGGGATTAAGAGGTTATGATAATGGATGTATGGATGGATGGTCCGTGTCTTACGGCTGGGGAGGAAGGGCTGTGGGGCTCCACGGTGTCGGGGTCCCGGCTTTGCTCCGTCTTATCCTGCTCCTGGTGCAGCAGAGCCAAACCGGCTGCGATGTCGCTGGGGACCAGGTCTGTGTCCTGCAGAACAGGCGGGGAGAGTCTGCGTTAGACCCTGTGAGGGCGGCCCTTCCTCTGCGGACCAAACGCCCGCCCCGTGCCCGCCCCTTACCGAGAAGAAGTCGCTGAAGAGCTGCGCCATGCTGGAGAAGGCGGCGCGGTGGCTCTCGTCCTGCGGCAGGCAGCAGCACAGCAGCCGCAGCCTGCTCTCCCACACCTTCACCGCCAGGGAGCGGGCGGTGGACAGGAACTGGCTGCCCTCGCTGCTCTCCATGTCCCGCACCCCCAGCGGCTCCAGCGCGGCCGGCTGCGAGCGGGGGCGGCCCAGAGGGTCGAAGACGAAAACCACCCCCAGCGCCGTGGACAGCAGGAGGATCCAGCTGGTGAAAGCAGACGAGACAAAGGGCTGGACGCAAGAGCAACACTGTGTGGTTAAAGCTAAATAAGAAAAAAAAAAGGGTTGGAGTCCAGGGGGGACCAGGACCAGAGGGTTCTGGGTTGGAG